TGATCTTGGGAGAAAAAGCTTTGTACTTCAGGCACAAAGGGAATGAACATCTTTGATTTCTACTAGGGAGCACTTGGTGTCAAAATAATAACAACTTTCTGGCATATATTCCCAAAAATATTTGTGACTCAGTAATGCAAAAAAAATTATGACTCAATACATTCTCATGATTTCCATTATCTGGAGATAAAGGAACCCTTCTAAATGTGATTTCATTTTAGGACAAATACATGAGAAATAGAGCCATAATTCTCAAACTGAAGTTAGAGAATTTTTCTGGGGTTCTTCAATTCTCTGAGAATTTTTAAAATTTTTACAAAATACCAATACAGTCAAAGAAAGTTAAGTATTATAAAATCATAATCAGTATCAACTGTATAATAACTAGATGAGTAAAGATAACCAATTTCAATGCCTGAGTTGGCAGTGTTTATAGGAGCTGATAGAAAAAAAAGGCTGGACTGGACAGCCAACTCACAGAACCCAAGAATGGACTAACAGTTACCAAAGCGAAAGGGACTGGGGAGGGTGGGTGGGAAAGGGGTTGGATAAAGGCAAAAGGGGCATTACAATTAGCACACATAATGTAGTGGGGGGAGGGTGGTAATGGGGAAGGCAGTATAACACAGAGAAGACAAGTAGTGATTCTATAGCATCTTACTACGCTGATGGACAGTGACTGTAATGGGGTATGTGGTGGAGACTTGATAATGGGGGGATCTAGTAACCATAATGTTGCTCATGTAATTATACATTAATAATACCAAAAAAAAAAAGGCTGGACTAGATTAAAAATGGCCTTTTAAAACATGAAATGACTAAGAAGTCATTTCAAGAGTTTGAGAGGAGAAATGTAATGGTAGGATTTACATTCTTAAAAAACTATTTGGATATCCATATAAAGCATGAATTGGAAGACATAAAAAGGGGGGAGAACTAGAAGAAACTATTATAATAATACAGATAAGAAACTGTGGCACAGCAGGGACTATGAAACAGGATCTAAGGATGGTAAGCACAGCAGAAAAATGCCTATGGAATCTAAGGGGTAGAATCCATAAAATCAGATAATAGATTGGCAATGGATGAGAGAGGTTATTAAAGCCAAAAGAGACTGATATAAAACGATTGTCAAGAGGAAATGATTAATAACAACAGTGAATTACAAAATAAACATGTCTTTTTGTTTTGGGACTTTGAAGAATCAATTAATTATTCACAGATGATTTAAAACATTACACCCAGAAATTATGTCTTAAATTTTATAATTATTACAAAGTCAATAATTTCACTTTTATAGCTTGTGAGTTGTGCAATGGATCTGGAAAATCTCCCTCTCCTTTGCTACATAATCTGTTTGAAAAATCTAGCTTAATTTCTTTCTATAGAGCTTACTGAAGCTTGTCATTCTTTCATTGTTGTTTATTTGGTAGCTTTAAAATGTCTTTCCTCTGAAAAGATGAGTTTGTCTTCTTAGTCTCTACAGATTTGTTGTGAATATTTCAAAATAGAATTATTTCTTCCTCTCTTCCCATTTTAAATTGAAAAAAAAGTTTATTTTCTTCAAAGGCACATACAGATGCTGTCACAAAAAAATTAATGTCACGGTAAATTTCACATAGGTCTTTGTCTTGGTGATTTATTTCTCTGGGATAGATTTTACTTCCTTATACACTAAAGAGTAATTTTGTCTGTTTCATCTCAGTGTCTAAAATAATGTCTGGCACAGGGCAGGTGTTTAATAAGTATCTTTTAAATATTGAATATATTAGTGAATTGATATACCAAACAGCAAAGGTATAACTGTCAAGCCTCAGAGGCGGGGGTTGCTCTTACTTCATTTAGTAAGTACAGGATTCCCTCTACTGGATCTTTTATCTTACTCTGTACAATCTATCAACCCCATACTGTGCTCTCTGTTGCTATTCTCCTGTTAGTTGTTCTCATATTTCTTCTCCCCACTTCTCACATCAAGGGCTTTCCAGGACTATTAAATTTTTCTTCACCTATATGCTTCCACAAGAAAATTACTGCATTTAGTAACTGCGCATACAAGATGATACCAATGTTTTATTTTGAAGAAGAAAAAAAGAAAGCTCTGTTAGAAGCTAATTTCTATTGAGTGCAAAGCGTTTCTAGTCAAAAAGTTACTATGAAGCACAGATTTTATGTTCAGGACCTGGCTAGCTGGGAGAGACAGCAGCATATTATCTCTGTTACAAATGGAATGTAAATGTCATAGGAATTTGATATCCACTATCATCCATCCATTCAAAAAACACATGAACAAACTCCTTTCACAGCTGGTTACTTGACAGCAGTCCTTTTCTCCCTGAATTCATATTTTTATCTCACTTTCCCCAATAAGCTTATAACAACATTTTACTGCTTGAAAATATTTTAAATTGATCATCTTACCACATTTCCCTGCAACAAAAAAAAAGTGTATTTTAAAATCCCTGAGACTGTAAGTCTTAAAAATTTTCCTTAGTATTGTTGTTATCCTTAAATTACTAAAACACTACTGATGAAATAACCTATCATATATTATGATCATTATAAAATATCAAGTCAGCTTTTATTGGAAATGCATCTCATAAAGAAATGGATAGGGCCTTCTTCCCCATCCCCATTTACATCAGGTACCCAGGATGAATATTAGTTATTGATAGAAAGAAAAAGGGTTAATTCTCTTCTTATACTGTGTATTTTTCCATTCCAAATATCTGGGAGTAGGACTTCTGGTTATATTAACAATCATTCTTTTGAACTACTAAGCTATGTAGCCCAAATCACACAGGGTTATGTCATCAAAAATTATTTTTAATGATCACCTGACAATCAGTTGGGCCTTTCCAAAATATTCTTGAAAGCCATTAGAAATTACCATTCTTGAAAAAGAATTAGCTACCCAGTCATTAGAATCACTCTTTTTCTAAACAAGATTTAGGTCAGATTAAAGGTATTGCTTTATTGGTACAGTGGGAGAGGGACAATTACCTAACAGGAAAGGGCACAGGTGTCTGGTGCAGGCACACACTCAGGCAAATCCATTTTAGAGAAGAAAATAGGCAAGATGACAGCCTGTGAATTAATACCCATAAATTATCCTTTACATACCCACTGGAAAGCCTTCATGTACCTCCAAGGATAAAGGTTAGGAATATGTGTTGCCCAGTTTGAAAACTGCTGCCTCAGATACACTAGATTTGGATGCACACAGTGTAACAGGAATCATGACTTTCATTAAGTAGTTCACAACTTCCTGCTTGTCTTTTTAATGATTATCTAACCACTGTCTTCTCCCTAGCAAGGCTGTATCTTTTAATTGGCTTATCAGAAGTCTTTTCCTTTGCAGCAAGATTAATACATCTTTAACATATGCTTCTAACTAAACTGTGTGACAAGTTTTAATAATTTATTTGCTGAAGTTAATTAAAACAGATGGCATATTACTACTGGATAGAAACTAACTTAATGTAATGAATATCTGAATTACATTTTGTCATAATCAGGTAGGGGTACCACTCCCCACTAAAAAAAAATTTAAGATGTTTTTACTTCACTAAATTGATAGGATTGTGCATTCTGGACAAATAATTTTGTTAATAAGACCCATTTTTTCATAAATTATAATAGGGAGGTGTATATTTATAAAATTAAAAAGAAAAGTTTACCCTCAGATAAACTTTAAAACATTGAGCTAAATAATTTTCTCATTTACTCAGAGAGAAAAGAAAAAAATATATTTCCATTCTTTTTCAACAAGTCTCATATTATTCAAGGTTCAAAAACAGAACATTTCTTCAAATTAGAAACCAGATTATCATTTTATTTCTAATGATTTGTGGGGCTTCAGCTGTTTTTAACATTCTTCAAATCTCTGCTAGCCAAAGCACACCACTTGGTGATTTACAAGCACATTACCCAGGCAATCAAAAAAGGACTGAGCCTTGACCAAAACATGAAAAATACTTTCTTTCATGCCCCAGCCTGATAAATTGAAGTGAATGGATTTAAGTGTTACATTAACACAGATTTTTAAACATTTAAAAAATATCATGTAACTTTTAAGTTTGTGGTCTTCGTTCGTTAGCAGCTGTGAATTTTCACGTAAATCTAAACCGAAAAGGGAGGCTTAACAACAATTAAAGCAATTTAAAGTAAAACCTACAGTTGAGTTCATCCTTCGACGAACTGACAGGTGAGCTGATGAATTAAAAGGCGAGGCTCAAACATCTTCCACAATAACATCAAGTTAAACAATATATAAGCCCTCGGCTGACAAAATACTAACAAAGGCGGTAACAAGGGGCGTCACTGTCGCTAATTGGCACTTTGCCAATTAGGGAATAAACTCTAGATCATCACTGTTTCTTTGTTATTCGCTTAACTCTAGAAATAGCCTTAGAACTTGAGGGCTTCCCTCTGGCTGACCCCCAAATAGTAACGAATTCAACGACCCGTAACTACAGCTCAGGACCATTTATCACCTGGAAATAACCAAGGATGGTAGCAACTCCAGGGCGGCCGGGCACAATCTGCAAATCTCATAGCTCTGCTCTAAATTCACTGATCTTCACATTCTTAAAAAAAATAAAAAAATAAAATAAAAAAACCAGTGTGCTGAATAACCATGAGACCTTGAGTAATCTGCGGAATTTGTGTTTCAAAAGAGGGCCTGAGGGGTCACAGCAGCGCCCGGAAAACAGACTGCCGCGGGGGTGACGCGTCCCACCACAAACTCGCATCGTTACAGGTTTCTCGGTTCCCGGCCACACAGGCGACAGCGCTGTAAAGCCAGGAGGGCACTATTAAGCCAACTCAAAGCGCACCACACCCTCTCGGGGACGCCCCCACAGAATGCCGCCGAGAGAGCCGACCTCCCAGCCGCCGAGGCGGCGGGCCACATTCTTACCCCCTCAGCTCCGCCTCCGCGCCTCCACCGCACCGCCCCCGCCCCCAATGCGTCGCTGCCCAGCCCCGCCGCGGAGGCTCACGGGACACGTAGTACGTCGCTCCTGCTTTCTCCTCCTTCCGCCCCGAAAGCGCAAGCTTCCAGAACGCCCTCGGAGCTAGCCGGACCCTGACTTCCGGTTTGCGCGCGCGGCTCCGGCGCCGAACCTGCAGCTTGCGGAATCCCCTCTTCCGGCCGCGCGCGGCTCCCCGTCTGAGCGAGTGCTGACGAGGCTAGCACCGGTGGGCCCCCGTTCCGCGCGCGTGTTGCTGGGTAACGGGTATTCTCCGGCGGGGCGGCCCCTCCCACCGCGGCCGGCCCCTCCTCCCAGAAGCTTTTGGCCCAGCCGTCTGGCAGGACTGCGCAGGTCCTGGCGCAGCCGAGGCGAAAGAGATGGGAATCCCTCCGCGACGTTCCCGGAGTGGCTGCCTTTGCTGGGGAAGTGCCACTGTCTTCGAGGAAACCGGAAGCCCGCAGTGACCCCTGGCGACCCGGTTTGTTTTCGGTCCGTTTCCAAACACCGGGGAATCGAAACTCGACTGCCCCGGTGGGGGGGGCCTACGTAGCCTGTCTTCGGGGTGACTCACCTTGGCCGGGCTTGGCGCGGGAGCAGACCCGGGACGACCCCCCGCTGCTGTCGCAGGTCTGACAGACACGTCCTTTTTTCTCACAACCCCGCGTCCCCTGCTTGGCGGAGCGGCCCACCCCTGGCATCCCTCGCCCCTGCCGACCGTGCACCCGAGCTGTTCCAGGCCCTACTGGGCCCTTCACTTCTCCCTCTTGCTTATTTTCTTTCTCGGATTTAGTGGGGTGCCTTGGTTTTATTTCATTCATTGAGACTGGCTTTATGTCGGGAACGAAAGAGGGACGTTTGTCTAAGGACAGCACTGCCTGGGGCTTCCGAGCAAACAGTAGTCACTTGTCGTTTTAACCTTTGTATTCACTATGGTTTTCGATCGTTTGTTGAGAGACTGCCAAATACAGCGTAGGCCGAGCCCCTCGTCCCTACAAATAATGAACTCAAATTCTCGAAGATGAGGTAATATACGAAGACTGTACAAATGAAAACAAATTGCTCCAGGATGTGTTGTTGGAAATACGCTAAGGTAATAAAAGACAGTGATGTAGTAGGATTGAAAGTGACCTCACCTCTTATACATAGAAGACACTTTCTTTTTTACTATTGGAATTTTGAATTGGATTGAGTTACCCAAACACGGTTCTCTAAACATGCCGTATCTAATTTCCCACCCTGTCGTGATCATTCCCTACATGTCTGTAAACTAGGAAAGGTGCATCCCTCACAGGGTTACTACCACATATTAAAGCGATATCGTTTTGTAAAATGGGACATTGCATCCAAATTTAAGGTTTTAATATTAAAGAGGCAGTACAATGTAATGGGGAATGCGCTGGAATAAGTCAACATTAACTCAGGTTCTGAGTGCTGCATTTTCCACTTACTCACTTGACACTGGGTAAGAGAGTAAATCTCTTCCTCATTTTCTCTCTCCAAGTAATGCTTACCTCTCCAAGGCACCAAAGAATAGGTTCTAAGAGTTCTGCTGGCTCTGGAGACAACGGACTCGTTTTCATGCCTCTCCCCACCTCTTTCCAACTTTTGCCTGTCCTAGTTGCTCCACCTGTGGTGTGAGGAAGTTCTTGCCCACCTCGGAGGTCTTGCATAGATTTCGTGAATTGTTCCGAAGAGTAAATGAGATAGTTCTTAAAGGCAAAGGGCACTGACATACCATAAACACTTGATAAATATTAAATAGGAAAACAGAATGGTATCATGATTATTAGATAAAATGATGTGATGAAATGAAAATGACGTGATGAAGTTTAGTTTTCCATAATCCATTAAGAGAATCAACATGATTTTTCTTGTTCTACATTCTGGTTAAAGAATAATTGTTATATCACTACTAGAGATTCATACTGCCAATATTAGTAACATTTAGTGTATTTAAGTGCTCATTTGCATTGAGATGTATTACTTTATGGAATAATGAGAAGTAAACTGCTTTTCATACCTATGCTAACCCTGAAAGAGTCTTATGATTCCCTGTCCATACAATATGATTCTGGACTAATGTAGTTAGTGGGATTACTCAGCGTTATAAAAATGAAAATGGAGTTTTTCATACTAATGCTGGACGTTTTGGGGCACTCATTGAATTATAGGGCATTTAAATGCTGAGGTACATTGATTGACTGACAGTATCAAGAAAAAAAGGCGCTTGGTGATCCCTTCTTTTTAACTCCTTTATAAACTTCTGCCCTCTAATTATTTCTTAAAAATAGGGAAAGAGGAGTGTTGGTCTGTTTCTCTCCGTAAAACTTAATCCTTGCTCCATAGTATCTTCACTGATCCTGTGAAGTGGGTACAGGATATTCTCACTCATCAGATGTAGAAAGATGAAAATTCTAAATCAGATACAGTAGGGAAGAGGAAAGAGCCTACCAAATAGGCCTTGATTCAAACCCTAGCTCTGTCACATACTGCCAAATTTACCTCACCCCTTTGAGCCTTAGTTTCCTCAACTGTGGTGGTGAGAGTACTTTATACTTTCAAGGCTGGTGGTCTTAAATTATACCTTTTACTCAGTTCCTGGAAAAAAATGAAAATTCCTTTCTATCTGTTTAGGTTGCCATCCCATATTCACATTAAATTTTTCCCTTCACAGTTTAGGAAGGTGGCATCATCTTGATGTAGTTCAACCTATCATTTTATTGGTGGGAAAATTTAGTTCCAAAGAGGTAATCTAATCAATAATCAAGGTGGCAGGTCATAAACTATCATCTGGGTTTCTGGATTTCAGGCCAGTGTTCTTTCTACCACTAAGCTCTGTCTTCTCCAGATTCTTATTGGGAAAATCAAATCCATGTTGTGTTGTCTCTCAGAATGTTGTATTAAGAGCACAAATTTGGAAGTCAGCTTATCTGGGTTAACATCCCAGTTTTGCTGCTGATTACTTAAGTAGGTATTTAATTTTTCTAAGACTTCATTTACAAATTAGAATAATAGTACCTAACTAAGAAGTAGGAAAATGCATTCGGAGGCACTGGTGCCTGGCAAGTAAAATGGTAAATATTATTATGATGAAATTTGATGATATAATCACATTTTTTCTTAGAAACAAGACCAATCTGGTGTCATAAGGTATTCCTGCTTTCTAGTATCTCGCACCCCACTGTATATAACATATCTTAACCAAGGGTCCTCTCAATGTTGATTAAAGTGAAGACTGAAATTTAAGATCTTCTAAAATAATTCTTATTAATAATGTCTCAACCTTTTTTTTTTTTTTAAATCTCTCTCCCCTTCAAGAACTACTGTTCTTTTCTACCCACCTTATCTGGCAAATTGTGCCCTTCTTTTCCCCATCATTGTGATACTGTGATTTATAAGAAATACATATTTGGTCATCTGAACCGAATATATATGTCTCATATACATTTAGTCTATATCCTCAGTTCCTTAGCTCATAGCTCCCAAAACTCTTGGAGTTTCCTGAAAGATAAGAACTATGGAAGTATCCTTTGTCATAATATTTGTTCTCTTGTCCTCTGTTTCTGAAATCATTTCAGAACCATATAGGTGAAATTAGTTTTGTTGTTCATACCAAGCCTCTTTCCACCACTACTGGTATTAAGGTGCTATTTTGAACAGCACCTAAAGATGGAGGCTGGTTGCCAGGGGAACCACCATGTGATTAGAAGGTTGGAACTTTCACACCCATAAGGAGGTGGTGGTGGGGGATGGTGTGGAGGTTGAATCAGTTGTCAACAATTTAATCAATCACATCTATGTAATGAAACCTCAATAAAAACCCAACGAGGAGAGGGTTCAGAGATCTTCTAGGTTGATGGCCTTAATACTCCCATGTGCCTCTGTGCTGGCCCCAAACTCCAGGACAGAAGCTCCTTTGTTGGGGACTTTGCCCTGTGTATTTCTTCATCTGGCTGTTGATTTGTATTCTTTAATATCCATTGTAATTAATTAGTGCTCAAGTGACTAAGCAGGCTTGCTGAGTTCTGTGAGCCATCCTAGTAAATTAATGGAACCTAAAGAGGGAGTGGTGGGAAACTCTGATTTATAGCCAATTAGTCACAAGTATAGGTAACAATGTGGATTTGGGATTAGCATCCTGAGTTGGAGAGGGTCATTGGAACCCCCCGTTTTAGCTGTCAGTCAGAAGCACAGATAACACCATAGCCTTGCAGTTGGCATCTGCACTGGAGAGTGGTCTTGCAGGACTGAGCACTCTGCCTGTGGACTCTGATGCTATGGCATGTAGATAGTGTAAGAACTGAGTTGATCATAGGACACCCAGCTGGTGTCCAGAGCATTGCTTATTGATGGCATAGAAGCACTCACCCACACACTGAACCAGAGCACCTTGTACTCATTCTTGGGAATTTCATTGTTCTCGTCAATAATTATCAACATCTTTTACCTCAGTCCTTTCTTACTCTCTTTTAATTTATACCTGTGTAAACCTCTAAGAAACCATGTAATTGCCAAATGTGTAAAATGTCTGCATGTCTACATTTAGATATATTTGCCTATAGATAAATATATCTAGCCCTCCTATATTATTGTGGTGAGATAATAAATATGAAGTTAGTTTCCATAATAAATCTCCATGGAAAAGTTAGGTCATGTTTACCAGTTAATAACATAGTACTAACCATGTACACACGTTTAAGGATACTAGTTATAATTGGAATTCTGTAAATCATGTAGTTGCTACTTAGCTGTTTCTCTAGAGTAATGGTTCTTAAGTTGGAATGGGATTTTAAATCACATGAGCTGATTATTGAAAGTCCAGTTTGACATCTTCACCCTACATATTCTGATTTACATAAAACTAGTGGAGCCTAGCAATGAGTATTTTTTAAGAGAACTCCAAGTGATTTTAAGGCAGTGGTCCACACTTCGCTTTGTCAAACACTGCTTTACGCCATCTCCAGTTCCTTAGAACGTTATTGAAAAAGACATATTTTTTGGGCATGCCCCTGTAGAATATATTTATTTTCATGATTGAGAGAGGCCCGCTTCATCTTGTCTTTGGATAATAGTTTTGATAATATTTGTTACATTTTAAAAGTTAATGTTATCACTTCCTGCTAGACTTCTTAAAATGTGTTTTGATAATTTTGCTCCGTGGTAATAATTCTCCACATGGCACCCAGTTTTTAAGGATTAAAGTAAACATGTTGTTATTTTAAGATAATTAATCATAAATAAGGTTAGATATAACACAGGATAAGTTTTCCCAAATATTAAATGTTAAAACTAACTTGTGTAGTTTGTTAAGTATAACAGTAGCCTGTTAGGCTTTTACCATTTAGCCAGCAAATCAAACTTCCTAGGCCAGCTACTTGGGGTACGCATGAAAAGAAATTTCATCACGACAGAAGTATACAGAACTGAATCCTACTTTTTGTAGTGAGGTGCTCCTCTTACTTGAGGTTGAGGAAGGATGCTTGCTAAGAAGTACAACCAAGGGCTGCACAGAGCCTACAGTGTTACATTGTGAGCAGTTTCCCTTTCAGTGTAGTGGTAACTGTCCTGGAATGTCTGCCTCCTATTATTTGCTACCTTTCTAAGATCTCCTTTTCTCTGGCCCTGCAGCTTTTAATCTCCAGAAGTCCAGTTTATACAGATTAATATGATAAATATTAACATTTCTCATACTTAATGTGATTTCATATTTTTGCAAGGATAAATTAAATTTTACATTTTCAAATTAAGATGACAGTTACTTTAAATAACTTACTAAAATTTTATGCATATCTGTGATGTTGGATCCCCTTGGGAGTGTACTTTAAAGACATGGCTCTCACTCGTGTAATTTTTAGGGCTGACAAACAATTTTCATGCTGCTTTCCAGTGCATTTCCAGGCATGTTTATGCTACATTGAATAAATACATAGAATAATGGTATTAAAGTTGGAAAAGGCTTTTCTTACAGTATGTTTTTATATTCAGAGAACACCATATAAAACTTTTCGGTGATTTATAAATAAAACAGGCAACAGGTACAAATATATAAAATAAACCAACCTGACTACTTTTGTCCTAAAAAATGACCAATTATTATACTGTATAACTGTTAAAGCAATATACCACCTCCCTCCTAAGGTACTTAAAAACTTTCCAAGGGGTTCTAAGTTTTGTAGTTCTTTATGAATTTAAGTGTGTAAAGGATTTATTGGAGAAAGAAAAATTAATTGCTCAAGCTCTGAAATCTAAGTGCTTGTGCTACTTATCTAATCTTAGCTAAGTGTTATAACCTTTCGAGGTACCAGTTTTCTCATCTGTAAAATGGTATAACAAGGTTTTCTACTCAACTTAGTAGTCATGAGAATTAAATGGAATATTTATAAAACACTTAGCACAATACTAAGTAGTTCACTTGGTTGTGAATATATTTTACAAATGTGGTATAATATTTATGTTATGGAGTCATGTCTAGGTCTGTCTAAAGCCCACAAAATAAGAACCAAATTCTGTAGTTTCTCTATCACAGAGAGGACTGTCTCAGTTTGTCTTCATTCTGGTTTTCCAATATCTCTTTCCATTCCCCTTCTCATTCCTTCTCCCCACAGTCTGTCCGGGGTTTGAACTTGTTTGCCCTGCTGGAAGTTAGCAAACTGTGAGGGCTTAAAATATCTTATGTACAATGGAAATAACCACCCTTTTCACCTGAGAGTACAGGGTTAAGAATCATTTGTGGTACCATCTTTGAAAACCACTCCTCCTCACCCTTCAATCCTCATAGCATTCTGTATTGTTTTTAATACATTACTTACCTTTATGGTATGATAACTGTATTACTTCATAACTTTCTCCCACACTAGGTTTTCCTTGCTGAGTAAATGATTGTTTCATGACAAAAATGGATGAATAGGAAAAAAAAATTACACAGCTGAGCTAATTAGAACTTTGTGTAAAGCAAAAGTAAATAGGCTGTAATCCTTACAGTGCACAAACTGTGGGATATCTGTTTTGACTTCGTAGAGCATTTTATGCTTATTTCTTGTTTTTCAGCTGTCTTCAGAAGAAAAGTTATTCCACTTGAATAAATCTGGCCCATTTGGTTGGATATTAAAATATTATAAATCAGCTATCTTAGATGGGCACAGTTTTACCTCTCCTTAAACTAGATTAACTAGCCACCTACTTGTTTTGCTTTTAAGATAATTGTGTGTATGAAAGTGTCTTATATGGAGATACATGTGCATACTTGTAGTTTGCAGTATAGGAATAACCTACACTCTCCTTTTGGAAAGGAGACGTGGGGATTACAACAAGCAGCAGCATGACTGGAATGATGTTTGCTGTGATTTCGAACAGAGTTGATTAGAGAAGAAAAGTAAACCCCTGTAGAGGAAGAAAACTTAAACTTAAACTGTTTCTCCATCATTAGGAGAAAGTGCACCTTGCACCTGAAGCAGCAGCAGGAGTAGTTATGGTTATAATATCTGTCACTTTTTTGAGGTATTGTAAGTAGATAGTCCTTCCTTATTTTTGGACTTACTTGATATACTGAGAAAGATGCTCACTTATGAGTAGGGGTTGTCACACATGATTAGAAATTTACATTTTTTAATTTCTTAATTGTTTTAATATTAAGGTACATATAATAAAAGTGCCCAGATCTTAGTGTATAACTTGATGAATTTTGACATATGTACACACTCATTTAACCATCACCCAAAATAAGATATGAAACATTCTCACTAATTTTTCCCCCTTCACTTATTTACCCATCTCCTCACCACCACCTTCCACCCTATAGTAACCACCTGTCTGATCTCTGTGAGTCTATAATTAGAAATTTGGAAATTTTAAAATTGGTGTTGGTGAACATCAAATGGCAAGTTTAACTTACTGAGACTGGTGGTAGACACATTTATTTTTGCCTACATTTCCTATAATCCTAGATATAAACAAATCACTAGAGATGCCAAACTCAGACTTTAGAGTAATTGGAAGCTGTCAGTTATATAATTAGAAAAGTAAAAAAACAGTCATAGAAAATCAGACCCAGAAAAATACACAAACAAAACCTTTCCTTAGTATTCATGATGTCTGAAATAAAACAAACTTTATAGGCGTTGATTGGTCAGAAGTTTTGGAGAAAAGCAGAGATAGTGAAACATGGATTCTGTAGTTTAATCACCTATCTTTACGTTTCAACTCTCCATTTACTATGTTACTTTGGAAAATTTAAGTACAAATGAGTGTGTACTTAAATTCTTTCTATCTTATGGTCTTCATCTATAATATTCTTCGAACAGTCACTGACACTAATAAGCAATCAAGTGTTATTTCAATCCAGGCATAGTAAAAACATTTTCCAGTGATCATTAATAATCTAAAGTACACAAAATTCCATTGATAGTCTTGATTTAGAATGCTGTGTTTGGTGTTTTAAATTAAAAAATATATTAAAGGATTGTTAGGTTTTCTTAGGACCTGTGACCCCTCTTAACTGTGTTTCTAATAATGTCTTAAAAGGTTCACTATTTCTCCTAGTGTTTTTCAGGAATATAACTCTCAGATTCCTGGAAAGTCATGCCGAACCTAACAGCACAAGTAGATGTACAGAGCAAGTATATTGTTCCTGACTAATGAGTGACTGGCTGCTTCCTTAGGTTTTGGGATCAGAGTTTGATTCGAATCCTATTCTGTCCACTGTTCACTCAATAACTAATATTTATTGAGCACCTTCCACACAGGGGTAAATTGGGGACACAATGATGAGCAAAACAGATATAACCTCTGCCTTCACAGAACTGATATTTCACTAGCTTCAACTTCGGCAAATTACCTTTTCATTCCCTTCCTATAGAACATAGATGTTACCTACCTCAGAACTGTTCGGATGAATTTAATGAGATAATATTAAAAGAATGTAGTACATGGTACTGGAACACGGTGAGCAGTCAGATGTTAATTCCTTTGTTTTTTACTGTGAATGTACAAGAAATATCAGTTACTGATATGGGAAGAATATAGAGTATGCACTAAAATTTCAGTAATTGTATGTTGTAATGAATTGTGTTTAGGGAATTTTTGAAAAATTATAATTTGGGAGCTATGAAACTTACTACTTATATCTAAGAGTGAAATGTTGATGAGGAAGAAATAACATGAGTATATAGAGAGTTCAAAAATTTTTATCCTATTTACAAAAATGGTATTTCACAACTTTTGATAAAACTTAATAATAGGTTAGATTATGGGATTAAATGCTTTACAGGTATCAATTCATTTAATACTCTTAAGAACTCCATGAAGTAGTTGCTATTATAATCATACTTTATAAATAAAGAAATTGAGGCAGAGAAGTTAAGCAACTTGCCGAAAGTCACGTAGACACCAAGTAGTACAGCTTGGATCAAACCCTGGCAGTCTGGGTCCAGGTCCATGTTCTTGAACCCCTATGCTGTTCTGCCTATAAAAGCAATAGGAGTTTTTAAACATTGCCCTGTATTCACATTGTTCTAAATATCCCTTTTTTTCTGCTTATATATTCCATGAGACATTTGTAGTTCTTACTTTTATTCTTTTCAATAGCTGTCATGGATGCACTGGTAGAAGATGATATCTGTATTCTGAATCATGAAAAAGCCTATAGGAGAGATACAGTGACTCCAGTCTCAGTTTATTCAGATGAGTCTGTTGCTTCACATTTTGCACTTGTTACTGCATATGAAGACATCAAAAAACGACTTAAGGATTCAGAAAAAGAGAATTCTTTCTTAAAGAAAAGAATAAGATTTTTGGAAGAAAAGGTAATTTGCCTTCATTATGTTTTTTGATATAAAGATTAATTCAAAGTATTTGAAATTTTAAATACTTTCCTGTCCTGTCTTCCATGTTGTACTACATTTCCTAGGGTAATTTAGTGCTAATCTCAAAACCCTGAGCAATGTACTTACGCTGTGCTTCACATAGTCTATGCTTGGTGTATATTTGTAGAGTAACATTTAATAACATTCTAAATATTTTCATCTCTTTTTTCAGATTGCCTTACCTTCATAGCCAAATTTTATTCAGGATTTTAAAATCTGTACAAAAAGTTTTATACCAACAAAGGAAATTAAGTGTTAAAGAAGGAAGCTCCTTTTGTTGTAATGTACTTAAAGTGGTACTAAAATGTTTACAGATGTCTTCACCAGGACTGAAATTTCACCAGGACTGACGTCATCTTTACCTCAGCCTTCTTTTATTCTTAAACTTACAAAATAATGCTTTTAAACTGATAAGCCCAGGTCTTCTGTTTACCTTTTTTATGCAGAAACTTGAAACTCCTAAATGTTACAGAATATATAAGCAAGATTGCTGATTTACTTATAAATCATCAGATATACTTAGCTTTGTGTATTGGGAAAGCTTCATTACTCATCCATTTATTTTTGAGTTTTACAGTTTTAACTTAGTTTATGTTAATTCAGATCAAATCAATGTGTTTGTATTTTACAAACAGCAGCTTCCCCAAAGGGGGAAGGAAATAAATTCTTAGCAACTAAGGAAATAAATTACTTGTTACAGAAACCTAAGAATGGGGCTTAGTACAGTTAGATTCATTTGGCGGCAGTAAGAAAAGGGGAGTCAATTGTAAAAATAATTAAAATTTTGTTGTATTCATATGAATTTACTTTAATGGTGATAAAATAAATTTCTGATATACTGCTGTAGAATGGGAAAAGATAACATTTTGGAGCTTACTCGTAATTATGTTTATTTTAAAGCTTGGTAGAAGAATGTGATTTCATATAGTTAACACTGGAAATATTTCTGTACTTTGTGGCTAAAAATCCTCTTGCTTCCTTTTCTGGAATAATATGGGATATGACGAACTAACCTAACATCTATGCCTTAAAAAATCAAGTATACCTTAACTTTGATAACTTTTTCTGATGATGGAAGTAAAATACTATTGGCTTGGAAAACACCTAAGAACTATAAAAGAATGATGTACTGTGTTTTAGTATGATGAATTAATATAAGACATATACTATAAAGTATAAAATAATGATTAATAAAAGCATAAAATGGAAGATTTAAAAATATATCTTTTTTTAAATTTTTTAGTCAGTAAAGCTTATTTGTGTAGAAATGAAATGTTCACTTAATTATAGTCCTTGCTTCATTCCTGTATTACAGTGATTATAATAAAATGTGGAGCCTTAAAGACTTATTTTTTTATGTAGAATACCTTCTTAAGTTTATGCTTCTAATTTTATACCATTAGCTTGTAGGAACTCGATTAGATGAAGAAATAAGTTCTGTGGGAAGAGAGCAAGTAAATAAGGCCTACCATGCATATCGAGAGGTTTGCATTGATAGAGATAATTTGAAGAGCAAGTTGGATAAAATGGTAAGTTGATTTGGAGAGAATATCTATATATGGCATATGAGTTTCCTCCTTCAAGAGATTTAAAACTAGAAATCTGTGAAATATTTACATTCACTTAAAAGTTGAAAATATGCCAAGACAATAGAAATTATAATAGTAATAGTAATATCTGTAACTTACTTCTGTACAAAATAAATACTTAGTATGTAATGATGTTTAGGATTTAAAAACATCTAATACTATGACCTTATTTTGAAAAGTTATGACCTGATAGAATTTGTCACTGTGTTTACAAAAAAAAAAAAAGCCAGTGAATAAGTATGTCCAAAGTCAGAAAAAAAGAAAAGATTAGTGAAAAACTGAGTTCATTTTTTCACCTTGCTTTTAAAAGCCTAGGATAAGTTTTCAGTATTAACTAAAATTTAATAGATAATACCAAACTATAGATTTTTATTGAATGTAATTTGGCATTTTCCCTACTTAACTAGAATAAAGACAACTCTGAATCTTTGAAAGTACTGAACGAACAGCTACAATCTAAAGAAGTAGAACTCCTCCAGCTAAGGACAGAGGTGGAAACTCAGCAGGGTATGCCACTGACTTGTTATGAATCTTCTAATAGAGTTAAACATTTTCCATTTATGTGTTATATCATTGATCAGTTTTCTATATCTGTATGTTAAGGCCTTACCTTATTTTTTTTAATTTTTAGGTTTTTATTAATTTCTCTGTTGTGGTTTTGCAAAATGTCAGCTCCTTTTAACTTTTCTTCAGATATAAATCACATTTTTCACATAGAAAATTTGATGATTTTTATTCAGGGCTAGTTTGTGATGAAATAGATGAAGAAACCTCTTGCCTCAAAGCCTCTTGCCCACTGGTATGTCCTGGCTTCTCCTTCCTAATGATCTGTTGCCCCACTATTAGACACACTGTCATAGAGTAGTTATAATTTTTTTTTTAATACCTGGAGGTTGTTAAAATGTGCAAATGAGATGCTGGGGTAGGAAGTTAGGTCTGGGGGATATGTGTATTAGTCTGTTCCCAGGAACATTCTGATGAAACCAGCTGAAGAGTTTGGTGGGAGGCTGAGGTTAGCTATTTTACAGTAGCTGGTTTCAACTTTTTCTAGGGAGAGACTAAAGAACTAAGTTAATGATAAGTCAGTATTCAGTTGTATTGAGTTTCTACAGTGGAATGCTTGTGAATAAAATATTTTGACATCATGTTCTAGGCCTGGTATTCAAACTTTGTAATCTCTTAAGGCACTAGATGGAGGGATTGGCTTAATGAGCCTCACTTGACTCACTTCATTTAATTTTTATCACATTTTAACCTTGACTTCAGAAACAGATTTTGTCTTGTATATAGTTTCAGCAAATGCTTAATTAGTACTGTATGTTTTAAAGTTCCAGACCCACAAATTTGTACTTTAACCTAAACAGAAATCAAGGATTGGGTGATTAATACATTCTAAAACAAGAACTAATTTCTAATTCTCAATAGCATAGATCTTGGGAAGTAATTACTGTTTATTGAGAACGATTTATTATACATGTTTTATATTAGTTTTCTATTATCTACATTTTGCTAACAGTCTTTTTGGAATTGCAACTTATGTAGAAGGCAGAAATAATTTTAATGTCCATCCTTTTTATAGTGATAAGGAATTTAAACCCATCTTCAGCAAACTGGGAGGTAGAAAAATTGAGCTGTGACCTGAAGATCCATGGTTTGGAACAAGAACTGGAACTGATGAGGAAAGAATGTAGCGATCTCAGAATAGAGCTACAAAAAGCCAAACAAACGGTACTGCAGAATTATTAAATTAAGAAATTCAGTATTCTGTGTGTATCATATGCAGGGTTTAAAATTATTAAATCATAGAGTTAATATAAATTGTGACTACTGAGAGTGTTACATTCTCTGAAAAATTCACCTTCATCTTGCCCTTTAATCATTTTTGCTAAAATTTAATATATACTTATAGCATAATCCCATAATTATATAATTTTGTTGTTTTAGAAAAGCCAAATTTTGAAAAGCTTATTTACTTACTAAATCTGTTCTTTCAGAGTCCCTTGCCTTCAGTTTTCTTAAGTCATTTTTTCTCTGTAAAGTTTAAAGAGACTTTAAAAATTTAAAAATTTCCTCTTTTATTTTTAACTAAATAATGTAGGCAACATGACAACCTGATTTTTGGAATTAAGAAAAAAATCTTTACAGAATCTACTACTTTTCAGATGTCTAATACTTTTGGGGCAAATTTAATTTTCAGCAAAAAGCTGAGAATTCAAGAACTTGGGGGGTGGGGGAGAGAGCAAGATAGAACAACCCTGCTGAGCTGCTAAAGTGTGGTTAGCCTAAAGTCATCCACAGAAGCATAAGTTGCCTCTCAAGTTCTCACCAAAACTCTGTTTAGTAAGACCTTACATTGGGTTAGATATAACAAGAGTGAATAGATGTTTTCACATGCCATGACTGGTAGTGCTGAAGATAAAAGGAAGTGATAGAGAAGTAGGGGAGTGTGAAAGCAACACACCAAATGCAACTTTAAAATAGTTACAGGAAATTGAAAAGCTCAGTAGTCTGGAGTCAGATAGCCATTATGTACACTATATACCCTCATATATTTCAAAGGTAACCAGTTAGATAATTCTTCCTCAACTCAACCATTTTGCCCATCACAGAATCCCAGAGCTGTTTAAGGAGTGTGTCACCTACTTACAGTTCCTCTGGTACGCCACTAACCAAAAAAACTACTTCCATGCCTCCTGACTGCCAGCTAAGGGTCTGACCCTGAATCCCAAATGTCCTTAGATGGAGCTTGTAGTTCTATCTTGTGTAATGCAGTCTTCTTCAAATTTGGGTGAAGAATGAACCAGTCATTAAGAGTAATACAGCATTCTGCCTTGGCTTTAACCAAATGAATTCCTCTGAACTGGACAATGAGAACTTGCTTGAGTGCCACCAGGCCTGACAAAGGGAAACTCTTACTACAAAAATTACTGTCAATTCCTGTTAGAGCAAAAATAGTTTCGTATTTGGGATTGAAGGTTCATTTTCCCAGCTTTGAACCTGTGACCAGGTATCACAGTTCCTTCAAAACCTTCTAGCATCCTGTCCCCCAAGGCCAGTCACCATGGCCCCTGGGAGGCTTCTTTTAGAAATATGTGCTTGCAAGAAAAGATTTGCACCTTGAAGCTCTGAATGATAGTTGTCAGTATATACATTTTGTTTGAAAGATTAATTTAGTAGTTTTTATACTTGATGGACATTTCCTTATAGAGTAGGAAGTAAGAAACTACCACAGAATCATAAAAACTTGGCTCACAGTTGTGGTGTTGCTTATTAACTATGTAACATTGGGAAAGTCATTTAACTGTTCCAAACTTGTTTTCTATAAAGTAGACATTTATTTTTAATATTCATGGCAGCTTTATCTATAATAGGCAAAAACTGGAAACATCCTTCAATGGAAGGAACAACCATTAGTAGATGTAAACTTTAGATAAATCTCAAGGAAATTAGTATTGAGTAAAAAATTCCAAACCTAAAAGTTAATGTATTATATGATTCCATTTATATAACATTCTTTTTAAAAAAATTTTTTTTTGTATTAAGATAAAGTATACAAATCCTAGTGAACAGCTTGATGAATTTTGACATGTGTATACACTCACATAAACATTGCCTAGATCAAGATATCAAACATTCTGCTTTCCCCCTTCACCTGTTTCTATACAGTGGCCATTTAAATACCATTTTTTTCACGGTGGTTGAATTAGATAATATGTAAAGCAGTTAACCACAGCGCCTAGTATAGTGTATTTACTATATAACTGCTTTAGGTATAATTTAGGGTGATTCAGAAAAGTAGTGCTTTCAGTTGTGTGTGTGACATAGTTTAGGTCTTACTAGTTAACTCTTCCACTAGATGGTGCCAGGAGATACATTTGCTTGGTTTATTAGAAATAGACTTTGCAAGATGGTAGAAACTTTGGACATCACTTTTCTTTTACTGCTGCTGAGATTGAATCTGAGACACTAAGAAACTAAAAGTTGAAGGTGAGGGAAAGGAGGAATTTTTTTTTAATGGATTTAAGATATAGTCCTCACATTCATAGAACTTACTTAGCCAGGGGGACGGGAGATTTAGAGTAAAAAATAAAGAAATGAACCAGGAAAAGGAAGAGTGGAAATGCTAATACCAATTATCAAGGGTTCCCAGTTGAAATCTTGATGTTGTGAGATGTGTACTTTTACATCTTGTTTCAAAGGTGTTCTTTATCAGAGTCCTCTTGGCTATGGGAATCAAACAAGCCAAAGAGAAAAATTTATGTTCACATTAATAATCTTGCTTATATCTACTGTAGACATATTAACAAATGTTTTTAAGATTTTACTTTCTGTGAAACATATTTTACAACACCTTCTGAAGTGTGAAATAGCATCCTACTTGGATATAATAGTGTTTTTTGGTTTTGTTTGTTGATTTTTTCTCAAGTAGTGAACTCAGTTGATTAGTGTTTGATATTAAAAGAGGTCAAGGTTCCAGGGTCAGTTCCCCTCTGGGCCTTTTAGGCTTTCTATATCCCTCAATATTCCAGCCATTTATATTCAGAACAGTTTATCCTTTGAGAAAAACACAGTAGGACCCAAGAGGTATGTCAGAAACAGTAAAATGGAGTTGGTGTACCTAATAATAGCCCATTTAGAGATTCACAGTGTGCTGTAGTATATTAAAGGTTCTAAGAAGTCCTGCTGTCTAGGAACCTGTTTAACTTAGCAATGTTTCCTAGTATTATGTAGCCATGGGCCCGTTTTCCTGTGAAACTGCCATATCATTCGGCAATAGTTGGGAAACATCCATTACTGCCTATAATACGGGCAAGCTGATGACTGGCCAAGGACAGGGTCTTTGAATATTAGAGTCCTTTCTTTTGTGCTTATTTCTAATTTACATTAGATTCTTCTGAATTACTGAGTGGGAGCTAGAAAAATGCTTTCCCATCCCAAACTGTCAGATTTTTCAAAAAATATCATTGGCTTTAAAAATGAGAAAGGTTTCTAATGTATTTACATGTTAACATTTACACTAATTAAAATGTATATTTTTAATTTATGATACAAAGAAACTAAAAGTGACCTTTTCTGATTCCTTCATTTTCCTATGGAGAATAAGAAAAATGTCCAAGGTCATGTGCTTTGTTATGGTCAGACCTTCCCTAATTCATGGGCCAATTCTGTTTGCCCTTTCTGTAAGGCTAACTGATATGCATCTTAATTGTTTTTAGTTGGTATTTTAGTATTTAGTTGGTATTTTCTGATTAGCGATCCAAAAATGCTCTAGCTCCTATAATAGGAATTATTTTGATATTTCACTCTCCTTAGTTCAGAGTACTTCATGAAGTCCTTTTGCAGCTTTTTAATGGTCCACATTAAAACATATCATTTAGATTGTAAATAAGGAACAGTAAAATTAAACACTTTTTCTTTTTCAGTTTATACTGGCTACTTCTGCCATTAGAATTAGTCATTTTTGTGAAATTACCTGTTATGGTCATTTTTGTTACAGATCTTTAAATGAGAATGTACTGCAAACAAGTCTGTTATAGAGTTGTCCTAAACATACTAGTCCACTTTTAAATATCTTTTATAAGTTCTTTGTTTCATATCTGTAATCTAAACTACTAAAAGTACATAATAAGAAGTCTTTGGCCTATCATTTTCTTGCTTGTGGTAGAGGAAGTTTATGCTGAACTTTTTAAAACAGTAACCTGTTAAATTTTTATACTTTTTTGTAATAATACTAAAAAGTGAAATACTAAAAAACTTCCATTTTCTTATGTAATTCATTCAGGTGTACCTTGAATAAACAGTAGTTTGATACTTTTGTTACCTTTGTTTGAATAGAGAGTTCAGATTGTTGTCTTCAGAAATATATTTTGTAAGACTCTTTAGTTCTTTTATGTGAGAGCAATTTTATTCTTTAAAGAAAACTAAAGCATTAATAACTTTAGATAATTGGAAGTGATTTAGAAATATACAGGTTTGGATGTATTTCATTAAAATTGAATATAAAGTCTAGTTTTATGCTGTATATAGTTATAGATGTGTTCATAAACCTGAAACATGTTTCTGGTAATAAATACTGAGGATAAATGGAATGTCACAATTACAACTTTTAAACTTCTCTTTAAATAAATGACAGGATCCACCTCAGGAAGACAATCTGAAGAGCAGAGATCTCCACAGATTAGATATTTCAAGGTACAATCTTCAATATTCAAAAATAATACAGCCATCTTCCATAGGCCACTTTGTATAAGTACCTAGATTTCTGTTATGATTTAACCTTAAAAACAAATGGATACTATTTGGGTACTGCATGTAATTTCATATGATGATAGATTTATTAAAAAATGCTTTACCTGTTTCTTAACAATAGGCTTGAACTTAGGAAGGTGTATATTGTGATGCCTTAAGTTTTTGAACATTCAGTAATATTTTAGATAGGATTTTAGGGAGCTAGCTATGTATTCTGCAATTAAGTCCCAATTTTGTACTCGAAGATTAAGAATTTCCATATACACCATCACTTTGTCCTAAACCAACATCACTTTGTCTTAACAGCAAAGTTGGACCACCTTAGACTTTGGTGTAACAGAATTTTCTTAGGATAAGAACAAAAGACATCAAACCTTATTTCTCAAAATGCGTATCATTTTACTTAAGTAACAAGTTCTGTGTTTTAAATTATCTGATAAATTGTTTCTGCTGCATTAGCATTCCCTCTCTATAGGATACTTTCATCCAGTGAAAAATACTGATTTGACTTCATTATTTGATCATTTGGCTTCCAAAGTTCCCTGGCCTAAATAGTGTAAGTCGTCTCATACCTATTTCTATCAAAATCCTGAGAGAAATGAGCTGATAGGGAACACAATTTGAGGAAGCACCATGTAGCCACTCTTCCAGACACAAAAGTAGGCAGACTTTTCCTAAGAAGGGCCAGCTGTATTTCAGGCTTTATGGGCTCTACAGTCTGTCTTGCAACTACTCAACTCTGTCATTCAAACCGTATTTCTGTTGTGCCTTCAACTTTTATCTAAATTTACAGCAAGGAAGTTTTTCCTTTTAAACAATGTGTCTAGCACAGTGTCTTTGTAAGTTATTTCTGGACACTGTCTTCTTTGTCAGTTACCTCCTTTTCTCCTATCAGCCTAGGTTTCCCCTTATTAATTTTGCTGTATTGGTCATTTTTATAAGCCTCTTCATTTTTGGGAAGGAGGGAACAAATATTTTAGAATCAGAGTAAGTCACATAAAGGGGACTATTTTATATATTACAAATACATGATAAAGAATGGGACTTCTGCTTCCATTCATGGGATATTTTACCTAAGTTTACATAACCACTTCTACTGAGAGTAACTTGAAAAGTCCCCAACCCCACCCCTACCAGTGTGTATTTGAAGGTATCATATGACTAACAAGATAGTGAAAAATCTTGATGTTAGGATTTGGAGGAGGATGAAGGCCCAAGGCAGTGAGTCTAGTTCAGGGGTCTTTGGAGCTATATAATTAGGGCTTCAAAGTGCAGTTTTAAATTCTCTAAAACTCAGTGTTAATTCAGAGCATCAGCTGAGAGAAGCAGCTTTTAGGAAGAACTGCCTTCAGTTCAGTGTAAAAGCTACTGTATGCTAAAGTACTATAATTACAGCATGTCCTAATGGCTCCCCAGTGCTCAGCTACACTTGGGTTTTTTTGCACATTCGTTTGCATGTATCTTACGTAAGCAGTGTGGATTGAAGACTGATTAGGTTTCCCTCTTCTGGTTAGCAACTATAAAACTAGTGGCCAAACTTGTAGCTTACCCTTTGTAAACTTTGCATCATGCATTTTTTTTGTATGGTAAACTTTCCTAACTGCATTTTGTCTTGTTCTTCCTTCATCTTATCATTTATACCTATTTCCAGTTCTATTAATGTTTGTAACTTAACCTCATCTACTTTTAAAATGGAACAATTCAGATGATAAATTGCATTTATTGTAATAGGGAAAAGCACATATAAATGTTTCCGTAAACAGTTAGATATTCATAAGGATTTTAAATTTTTTTTAGTTGGAAAATTCCCTTGTCCATATTGCCAGGCAAATGAGGTACTATATTGTTTCCCTAATAGAGTAACCCTTCTAATTACTAGAGGCTTTTTATGTGGTACTCACTGTCCACACATCACTTAATAGTAATAGCCTTGCCTATCAGAAGTTTGGCCAATGTCCTGCCAGTATAGTTTTGCCATTAGCTTTGGATGTTGCCCTCAATTTTTAACCCAGATCTAGGTACAGGGTAAACTGTTACTGTGGAACTTCTTAAGGTATAAATCTTTGCTTTAGAAGATATGGATTAGTTTAGTGTTTTTCAGACTGTGCTGTGTTCTCGTTGATCATGAAATTTTGTGAGCTAAGACAAGCATATTAAAAAATATGGAACAAAACAGAATAGAACACACACCAAGGGTGGATTATGCATAATAAGGAAGTATGGTTTCTCTTGTTTTCTTTGGGTTACAGTGTGAAATAATTGCTCACTGTGCCTGAAAATTAAAAATGTTTGAAAGACTCTTGTTTTGGAGAATCACAGTTGTTAGTGTATAGACATTTCTAAGTCTCTAGCTCTTGGCTAAGACTGTCCCATACTTTCAGTTCCTTTGGGGAATGTTAATAGTTCAGTAAATTTTCAAAAGCTAAAGAAAAACATGGATGGGTGAAGTAAAAACTCAATTAAATAGATTTTTCTTATACAAGAAATACTCATTTCAGTATTAATGTATAGTGTCAATTAAGAAAACTGGCCTTTTACACAATTTTACTTTATGAGCAGAACATGTACCCCCTCCTTGAGATGTGGATAAGCAGGTTTCATTACATTTAAAACCAAGAGGTGTGGGCTTTTGTGCTGGGGTTAAGAAGGTTGTGTTGGCAGTCAGTCATTAGACTGGTAACTGTATTGTAGGTCCTTGGTGAGTTCATGATCAAGATGGTGGTGGTGATGATGGTATGAAAGATGTTACGAAGGGCAGCAGTCAGTCATTAGACTGGTAACTAAAAGATGGCTTTGAACAGCAACATATCAGATTAGATTAAGTTCTCCTGAACCCATTTCATATTTAAAGTGAGGTTGCCCAGTTTGCCAAGTTGTTGTGAGAATGTGGGTGAGGTACCCAACCCATAATAAATGCTCAAGCATTATAAATTTTTGTTTCATCTATTTTTAAGGTTCTCATTTGGGAGGCTTTAGTGTTACATCTCAATGTTCAAGGACTTTTATGAGTTCTTCGTAGACAGCTTTATATATTACTAGGATATTGGCCTGTGTGGCATTTAAAACTAAGTTCACATTCCCAGCTGTAGGTGAGGGATGAAATTTGTACAGATCTCAAAAATACCTAGATAAGTTTTGGAATTTTGTTAAAGATTTGCCAATGAAAACTTGTTTTTCCAATCTCTTTTATAATATTTAAACATTTTGTTCAAAGAGATAGAACTAAAAATTAGTTTTTAACACACTTTGAGGAGTACATATAGTACTTTAATATTTGACTGTGAAGTGTAAAATAACTGCCAGTACATTCTTATCCACAAGGGGGAGAGCTTGTATTTAGTAATAATTCTTAGTTTTATATCTGTAGTTTTCATTTCAGGTGACATTAGAAGCAAAAGAAAAAGATCAGATGTATGTGAAACTCGGTGACCTCCTTTTTAGCTTATTTTATGCAGTCTTTATTAAACAACTGAAAAATGTGTATTAGACACTACTTGAACACCTCTATTTTACATGCTTAGCTATTTTGAACGATTAAATAATGTATATGATATTCCAGTATCCGAACACTATCTTGGGTATTTGTTTAGCTTTTCTCTAAGTCAGGTACTGATTTACCATCTCATGTCAATAATTAAACACTATTTTAAAACTGTATTAGTCATATCATGACTTACTTGCATGCATTAGCACATGTACTGTGTTGACACTTAATTGCTTTGGAATGTAACTCTGGAAAGCATACTGAATGCCCAGAATTGCATCAAGGAACCAGCAACTCTTCACACTTAGGCAGGTTTCTATGTGAAACATTCATTGCAGCATCCAATGTTTACTGGTGAAGTAGAGGTGGTTAACTAATTTTTGTGAAGTAATTATTTCACACCTATCAAAAACCTGCAAAAAGCCCTGTGATTTTTAATAGACTACTAGTTCACAAATGACATTTACATTAGACTAAAACAAGTGGATTTTTCTCAAAAGCAGTATAGAGTTTATTCTGCTGCTTCTGTTGAAAGAATTGTAATCTGAGTGGAGTGGAAATATTTTGACAAAAAGGTATGTAACCTTACCTAATTCAAAAAAAATCTGTTTTTTAATACATCTGGTACTTGTGTTACTAGAATAGGATGTTAAAATTAGATATCAAGAGTGTTACTTTTGAAGTTTGCTTAAAGGTTTTGGTTTAAAGCTAGATAAAAATTGAAGCATGAAGTGACATTTGCCTAATTTCATTATTAAAATTACACTAACATCTTTAAGAGGCATTAATGGTCATTTTGAATACTAATGAGACAAGTTCTTACTTTTAATATTTTATGTATTGTACAGCAAAGCAAGGATGATGATTTCAGTTTACTTAGTTGGCAATTTAAGAACCTTAAAAAAGAAAATCATGAATATCCATGTGATGTTTAATGGAAAGTGAAGCTTGTAAAAATTACGTTTAATATAACTAATTTATCAGATAGTTGAGGCACAGTACGTTTTTAAATAGAAAAATTAAAGAGGCATCTGAAGTTTTTATTTCTGTTTCATATAACCCTCTCTGGCTTTTCCCTTACCAGGAAATCTTCTGGCTCTTCATGTCTTATGCTGTCATGTCACATTGGTTTAGAACCAACAATACGAGACAGCCCAGTCATACATAAAAGAAAGGAATGCATGAAACGTAAATTTTATTTAATGTAAGCTTGGGCATAAATTCAGCAATTGGTAATAGAGTTTCAGTTCAACACATCAAAACAGAATAATCAAAAGATAAATACAAATTTAAATCCATATAGGAATGAATGTCACTTTACTCCTGAATATTTGCAGATGAGGAACATACTCATTATTAACTGTGTTAACACCATTGCACATTATGGGCTGTGATAAAATCTCAATTCTGAGAAAAGAACTTCAAGAAACTCTCAAAATACTCCTTTTCTTAATATTGTTTAATACAGTCATTAGAAATAAAGTCAAAGTTGTTATGAATAAGGTCTTTTTACATATTATAAGGTTCTAATTAAATATATTTCAGTTATGAAGTGAGGAAGTTTTAGCTTATATGATCTCAAAACTAATTTGAGCAGAAATGCAGATATGCTCATATATATTTTTAAATTATTCCTTTCTGTCCATAAAGAGAATAACAATTAGCTTTTTTTTTAACCTGTATTTCAGTGACAATATGCAAAATGCATACTGGGAACTAAAGAGAGAAATGTCTAATTTACATCTGGTGACTCAAGTCCAAGCTGAACTACTAAGGAAACTGAAAACCCCATCTGCAATCAAGAAAGGCAAGTCGGTATTTGCCAGAAACCACTGATTCCAGCCAAACTGCTTGAGAGCAACTGGCTATCCTATCTTATCAAAATCTCATCAAATGAGTTTGATAAGCCAAAGTATATACAGTATGTTTGCAGCCGACCCATATTCTGCTTTGGCTTCAGTCTCATGCTGGTCAGTTTCACACATAAAGGTGTTGCTGATGTGTTTTTCTTCAGTACTGTATTCTTTTCCCCTTGTGGCTTTTCTCTCAGCCAAGTGTTATTTATGTGTATGAGGCTGAGGTGTTAAGTTTGCTCTAGTTGACCTTTTACCACAACTACTTCATATATTTAAAAAAAAAAAAAAAGGCACCAAGATACAAAAGCTATTTTTCATTCCAGTGCTACAGAATACACCTGAAAACCTAGCTCTTTAAATTTTGAAAAATTTAAATTATTTTGAAAAAAATAACTGATTATTTGGTTGTTTACATTTTTTTGTAAACTTGATTTCTCTCTCCATATAGGATAAATTGTCTCAAATGGAGACTAGGTATTATCCCCTATCTATTCCTTTTCACTGAACAAAAATTTTCATGCTTTACCTTTCATACTGAATGACTGACTAAACTTTGAGTTTTGTGTTAACTAGTAGTGGCTACTTTGCCAAAGCTGTTTTTATATCTCAAAGGAAAAACGGTGTGCACTTGTATACTGTATTATTATATGATAGCTGTGTTTCTGAGAAGTTACATAATATAAATTTGAATGCCCTAAAATTTACTTTTTGAAGGAATGACTTCTTATAAAGAATAATCACCATCTAATTTAAAATTATTTTTTGTACCTCAGATTGTCCCTGAAGAGGGCAACAAGAGAATTGTATTGTAAATAGGTCTTAGGAATGTTTTTTAGTAGGGAAAATGTTGCACATTATGAAGGAAAACTAAATTCAGAATTCTTATTTCTAGAGTTACTTATGAGTCAGACAAAATAACACGGTCCTTTGGCATGCCCTAATTTAACGTGGTTCATTTTGTTCTCACGTTTTCTAGGGTTATGTATGAGGCAACTACAAGTAGATGATAGAAATAAGACTTCTCTTGAAAGGTACTCAGTAATTTTGCAGTGAGTTTGCAGTGTCTTCGTGGTTTATATAATATAATAAAGGAGAAATGCTCTTTCCATATTTGGAAATGGCTCATTCTTGTGTCTTTTCTGAGCTGATGAATGGCAAATCTGGTGATTTGCACTCCAAGTTTGCTAGCATTTTTCTTACCACAGTGACAAGCTCGAGGCCACCACTCCTCACAACTGAACGCCATGCACTAAGGAATACAGATGAGACTAGATCACCTTAATCCTGACCTACATGTCACCCTTAAGCTGAACTCTGTTACTTTCAAGTCTCCTTCTATCCTTCCTCCCAAGAGAAAAGGCAGTGAGCATATTTTATCATGTGGCTCATTTTCCTTCTAATACTGTCAAGAGTCGAGTTTTAGTTACTCTTGGCATCCTTCTTGGACTCAGAATTCTGCTCTGGTAGGTTGAATTGGAGGTGGGGGGAAGGCTTATACTACCATTATGTTGACTCCAACTAAGTAGTAGCCTTAGAGCACCTGCTCTCTAAGCCATTACATATATATTAAACACTTTTTTTAAATACTTGATCTATTATTATGACCATTATGTGTTTTACAAGAGACAGGATTATTTTATCAATTTTATTTAAACTTGTAAGTCACAATTATTTCAGAAAAAAGTTTACTTTTGGACAACCCATGGGAGAAAAAAGATTTGAATAAGGACAGTAGTAGTATATTTAACAAAAAATTACTAAACTTAAGAACAGCTTAGTCTCCACTGACACATGAATAGGATCTTTACTTGCATTTCAACTTTATTGGTTTCCAACTTTAAAATATGAAATTCATCTTAAGAGTTCTGTGATACAGGGGGACAAGTTTACTGTGTCTATTTGTAAATGAGAGTTTGACACCTGGAGCAATTACGTGATTTACCTAAAATCACAATGTCATGTCAGTAAATAGCTGATCCAGGATTAGGACTAGATGATTTGTCATTTTTCTTCAATTCATGGTCTCCAATGATCACATCAATTTGGAAGATTAACTTTATTTCCAGTTCTAGATTCAGCCAAATTACTGAAGTGTTACCTGTTTTATGGTCACAAATGCCAGGACAGCTAACACTCAACCTGTGCTTGCTTTTTAGCCTGCGCCCCAGGAGGATGTGTGGAAGACCCTGGGAAAGACAGCATGAAGCCACAGTGGACAAATTTTACTGCAACACACATAAGACAACCCCCTCTCTCACCAAATGGCAAAACTCTTGGTCATACCACATCTTCCCCTCTACTGGGAGAGAGAAAGGTTTTATCAGAGAAAGCAGTTAACCAGTTGTGGACAGATAATGAGCAATCCATTCTTCATGATGGTACAAACTTTCAGGAACACAACTCTTATGGCAGAAATTCTCTGGAAGACAATTCCTGGGTATTCCCAAGCCCTCCAAAATCAAGTGAGACAGCATTTGGGGAAACTAAAAATAAAACTTTGCCTTTACCCAACCTGCCACCATTGCATTACTTGGATCAACATAATCACAACTGCCTTTATAAGAACTAATTCTGAAGACATACATGGTCTGATCATGAGGTTGCTGTATCTCCCTTCAGTAGTTCTTTTGAGAAATTTAACAAAGTGGATTCTGATTAAACTTTTGCAGAGTTCTTCAGCATACACACTTGCACATACTGTACCATATTATGTAGTTGATTTTCCAGGATGAAAGAGCACTCTCCAGCTCCATATTCTGGCTAAGAATCAGATATATGTTACTGATTAATAGATAAGGTGTTTCAAAAAGAGTTCTACCTTTGATGGTAATTGTAAATTTCTGTCATATAAAGAATGGAGTTAAAAATGTTTAGACATGGTTTTATAAAGCATGTGCAGTACCTAAATATCCATAAAAATAAAGGAAGCCATTAATATCAGAAAAAAATCATGAGTTGCTTTAAGTTTCATAAAGGAGCAAACGACAATGTGAATTAAGTTTTATTTGTTGACCTTATAATGCATAAAGATATGAAAAGTACCATAGATTAATAGTATCTAGATTATTTCATCTCTGTGAGCTGTTGTGTTTCTCAGTTTAAGATTTAAAACTTTTTTAATCACAATGATAAAATTTAGACTTAACAATTTGAATTTTAAGACTTGAAATAACCTGATCATTGAAGCTTACATCAATCAAGACCTAATTGAAAAAAGTGATGAAACAGTTGAAAAATTATGTGTGTGTGAATAAACTTACAATCCTATACATCATCCAATTAGAAATAGGAAGAGCATCACAAAGGATTCCATGTACTCTGTTCCTTCAGTGGTCCTAAATGAAAATTTAAATGTATGTGTAATTATATGAAGTCGTTTTCTTCAAAGGGTCTATGCCTACTTGTTATATAGAACAGTTTATAAGTTAAGACTTTTGAAATGTAACATTTTATTCATTGAGTGATTTTTAATAAACTGAATTAGGAATTTTACTTCTAAAAACCAAGTTCTATACTGTATTGCTACAGTACAATCATGAAATATTCCCAAACTCCTTGATTCTAAGTGATCTATCATTTTTAAAAAGTAGGGAGGTAACAAGAATGGCTTCACATGGAAATGAATCTAAATTCAGGATGGTGGTACTAAGAATATTAGTAATATAATGTATTGCTTGGTGCATACATCTTTTGCCTAAGATAAGATGTTTCATGCAGGAGGCCTTTATCCTTTCTAATAGTTTCAAATATCTTGAACTCAGTATCTTAGATCTCTTCTATATTAACTGAATAGCATACATACATAATGTTCACCATACACCAGATATTTTTGTATTTCCATTATCTTACTCACTTATTCAGGCTTGTCTGTGATTAATGGAATTGGTGTCAGATGCTGGAATTTATTCTGACCAATGAACACAGCTGACTCAAGGGAGTACAATCTCCTGCCAAGTAATAGAACAAAACCCAATATGCATAAAACAAATACAAGACTCCAGGCTTTAGCTAAAGGAAGCAACTACCTGTGTAATAACAAAGCAGCAGAAACTGTTTCTCATGTGGCTGCATATGCAGGCTATATATTCTGTATGATATACAATTTAGCTTACTGGTTTGCTGTATTTTTAAACCAAGACTGGAAATTTTCCTTTGTAAAGAAAGTAAGTTGTATGAGATAATAGCTTGAATGTTTTGAACAATGCCAAGAAATAAATTATTTTTGTTTGAAATTGAAGTGGATGTGAAATACTATCTTTGCCTATATATTCCAAGGTCAGGTATTAATTGTTAGTTGTTAATTTGATGCATATAACATAAACCAGTCTTCTGAGTGGAGAAAATGCTATTCCATCTACACATTACGGTAGGTATCAAACAAGTACACTTTCTAGAAAGTCAATGGTTGATGTTTTTAACAGCTTAAAGTGCTAAATAAATAAGATAAAAGACTATTAAGGAAAGATAATTTTTTTTACCCAACCATAAATTTTTAAATGTACACTTTATGATCATCTCTTTTACATAAGATTCAAAGAGAAATGAGAGAATGGCCCATCTACTTTGTTGACTTCTTTCTAGTCGAAACTTGCTTCAAAGGGCTTCCCTTAAAAATTTCCTTACTCTTTAGATCTTTATACTGGTAACCCAATTCAACACATCCATACAGCTCAAAAGAATCAAGAGAACAACTAACAACAAAAAAGCTACTTACTCCTTCCTCTCAATCCCCCCTATTAAATAAAATTTACATCTTCTCTAAAAGGAAACTTGGGTTCTGCCAAAATGAAACCTGATTCATAGAGCAGGGACAAACCTACATGAAACGCTAGAAAACCAAGTATAGGGGAAAATTCAGACTTAACTGAAGAACCAAATCATGTGAAAACAAAGTAATGATCTTATCCCAAAAGGCTACTTGGAGAAGGTAGATCCTAAGTAGTAGAAAATCTGTAGACTGTTGCTTAACAGAATAATATCAATAGAGGCATGAGTGAGCAAGCCAGACAGCTGAGGTGAGTGTACCTCAGAAGGAAAAAGACTTGAGTGTGGCTTAGCACTGATATTCTAAGAACTATGATGAACAGTTTTTGACAAAAAGAAGGATGAAGGTATTATGCTCTATAACCTAACCAGTCTATGCCTATGGGGAAGATGACATCTGTATAAGTGAATCTGCCACATAAAACTGAATTCATCTCTGATTCCCATCAAAATTGTTAGCCACAAATTGTATATATTTCACTGGCTTTTTAAAGTAACTGTTTTGCCTTTTTCTTCATCTGAGTCATTAAAAATGAGTTAATGTCCTGTGCTCTAGGAAATGTACCACCCAAAAGGCCAGCACTTGTGTACCCAAAGGCTCGTTCACCACTATGCTATGTGGTCTCTAGGTTTCTATACCTGCTTTGCTTTTGTCTGCTATAGTAATCTCCCTTCTTTTGATGTGTGGCACGGGAAAATGTGGTTTCTTTGGGTTTCAAAGAAGAGTGAAATAGTTCTTCAAGTGGCTCACTTGAGTAAAGTGTGGAACTTGAACATCCCTTGGTTCTTTAGGTCCTATTTGCTACTTGCTTAGTTTTAAGTCCTTTAAAAACCAGATCTGTTTCATGGGATTGGGGCCAAAGCTGAGTCTTGTCCTAGTAGGTAGTAATTTCTACTTGTGAGTTTAATGAGAACTATGTAATATACATAAGATTTACTTCCCTGGAAACTGCAATGGCTATAGTGAAGAGTTAACAGCTCATGGTGGGGAAGAGGTGAGGGCAGCGGAGTGGAAGCAATTTCTAACATACAAGCTCAACCTGGGACCAAATTATTGCATTTGGAAAGAATTTTTTTACAGTAGCTCCTGAAATCATTACTATTTTACAAAACGGTCGTTCACACATACAAAGACTTTAAAAAATATGGAAATATTTTCAGTAGCCAAATTAACAGGCCAAAGAATGCAATAATAATACATCTTAGGATATTTCCCATCAAAGATACAAGTAAAATTAATTGATGATTAAGTACTTATATCTCTTCATCTGTTTCAAATAAGCTTTAACTACTAATAACAATAATTATTAAAAGAGCATTTATGATGTCTGAGGCACTGTCCTACACACTCTATTTACCTGCAATACTCAGTTAATCCTGACAGTAACTATATGAGACATATTTTCATAGTTGTATACCTAACAAGTGGAAGAACCAGGAAGGATTCTGGTTCATAACCATTCATTCTGCTATACTGCCTAGCTAACACCTTTGAAGGTTGTCCATTCCTGCTTTCCTTTTGTTATTTCTGGCCCCCATGATTAGCCATTAGCCCAAACATTAAAAGAATAATACAGGATTCATATGGAACCCTAAAAATCAGCCTCATTGTTACAGAACAATAGTTGTGGAAAAATTTGTATGAAAAATCCGTAATGAACAGGCAAACTATATACCATTTCACTGTTTACTATCCCATTTAATAAACAACTTTGGAACTTAAACAAAAATCTTTATTTCACATAGAATTAATATTCCGTAATTTGGGATAAAGCAAATAAAACTTCCTTGAGTCCATTATTTCAGGTGATTGTGATTTCCACAAATATTAGAGTTATTGGATATTATTTGAATATTTGCCTACATGCTTGTGGGAAGCTTCTGCAGCCTTTTCTTGCTAGGAATTCCAGTTTTTCTGAATTCTTCCCTTTCCTTCAGGTATTCCATTTTGCACTCTTCATAAAAGTCTGGGTCATTATAGCTACAAGAAGGAAATGAAAATTTCCTTTTAAAGTGAATTTCTTTACAAGCATTTAATATAAGCTTATTTGAAGAATACTTAGACATCAGTTGATCAGGCAGAATCTTTAGTAGACATTTTAGTAACTGTCATAAATACACTGTAAACATTAGGTTACCAAGCCTTTAGTTAAAGAAAGAGGATGGGGGAGCCTGAGGGCTCTTTTTTGAAGAGCACTGTCCGAGGAGCCACTGACATTACAGAGCAGACAAGGAAAAAGTGCACTACAGCTAAGTATACGAAGTGCTAAAACAGGTATGGCCCAGGGCACCACAGAAATGGGGAAGATGTTGGGAAAGGGGAGATTTCAACCAAAATGAAGTGAATTGCACTTTGAAGAACCAACAGAAACACATACAGAAGACACATGAACAAAGACATGAGGAAAAACTGTGACACGTGAACCGCTAGTAAACTGGTACCACTGTGGCAGGTGATATGCACAGGAGGAGAGGCTGGAGGTGAAGCTGGAAAGGGCGAGGCCGAATCACCGAGGGGGGAGCAGAACGCCGTAAGATCAGTCTCGTGTCTTAGATGAACCTGATAGTACGTGACAGGCTAAAAACATAAGGGGCAGCAAGATTAGAGGCAGAGTGTCCAATAAGCCAGACAAGAAATGAGGAGGGCCTATGCCAGAGGAGGAGCACTTGTGAAGGATGACATGGATCCGGGGGAGACTTAAGAAATGAGATCAACAGGAAATAACCAATTAGTTAGGAGACAGAAGATTCTCAATTCTAGACGACCGTATAATTAATTCACAAAGAGTCATGGTGCAGAAGGAGTAAAACGGAGAGAAATGAGAGGGTGGTGGTCACAGTCACTTCATGGAATGTCAATAGTAAAGAACAAAGTGGAGCACTTTCTTATTCAAAGCTGGAAAAAAGTACTATTTCTTAGAGTATTTTAAGACTTGGGGTCAAGTAAAATACTTCCTTAAAAATTCTCTATTCACTTTCAGTAATTGCCACATCCCTCTGTTTCCTTCACAGCATTATCTCCTACACTGAAGCAGCCTCTCACCCTGGCCAGCCCATCCCCCAGAAGAGACTAGAATTTTCTCCCCTTATTTCTGGTAGGTGACAGATAGGACAGTCAGGTGATTAATATTCAGATAACAAGAGCCAACAAATAACAATCAAAAAACAGCTGATATTTACGGAATACCTACTATGTGCCAGGCACTGTGGTGATGTGCATCCACACAGTCCCTGACGACAGCTTCAGGATTAATCACCCATCCCACGGAGAGGAGCTGGCCCGGGCCGCACTGCCCGCTCAGCTGCGGCGGGGTGGGGGTGGGGGGCAGCCCAGGCCACCGCCTCCAGGCCATGCTCCTCTCCACTCTGCTGGGGCACCGCCCCACCTGGACGGAGGGACAATATGCTGAGCTAAGAATGAGGAGTTACTGCAATGGCTGAAACTGAGGTGTGAAGGTTCTTTAATTAACATATAAGAGAATTTAACAAATTCAGTCACATAGAAGTTCAAGAGGTTCACTGTCTCCCTAAACACCTCCTGGGTGCCCTGAGGAAGAGAATGGAAGAGTAGTGAGTCACAGAATGCAGTCTGACTCCTCTTCTGTAAAACACGTAGTGCATGTCCTGGCCTGTAAGGAAGGGCTGCTATTAAATCATTTGTACGTATTACTAACTCAAGAGGAAAAAAAAACATGTGGACTTAAGAGCATGCCTCCTCATCTGTAAAGGTAGAGATTAATCTCTCAAGTATCCAATGACAGCATTCTAAAAAAGTCTATAAATTAAAATGTACTTTCTGTGTCATCAAAAAAGAAAACAAATATAAGATCCAGATAATCACTACTTTCTTTTTATCTAATTCAGGAAATTTCCAACCATGCTGACACATACGCTTCAGAGGCTGAGGAGCAGAACACAGAAGGGAATAACGACTTACCAAAACTAAGATCTGCCAGCCCTCAACAATTCTTACTAAGGCATTCCACATTCTGTCAATCATGTGGGTAATAAAATGTGGGGCAATATAACAAAAAGCACCTGCGTTCAAAGAACTCTGCATATCTTTAAGATTCAAGGAACTACAGCAAAGTATCAATGAACATGATATTTAAGAAGTACAGCTGACCCTTGAACAACAGGGTTTTAATCGCATGGGTCCACTTATACATCCACTTAAATATACTGGAAATTTTTTGGAGATTTGCAACAATTTGAAAAAACATTTTCTTTGTTCTAGCTTAACCTATTTTAAGAATACAGTTTATAACATACAAAACAGTGTCAACAGATTATGTTAGGCTTCCTGCTAACAACAGACAACTAGTAGTTATGCTTTTGGGGAGTCAAAGGCTATATGGGGAGGGTGCCCCGACCCTTGCCATTGTTCAATGTCAATTGTATTTTAAAAATTACTGTGATGAACTACAAAACTCTAAACTTACTTTGGTATCTTTTATTTGATTTACTGCAGCTTTCCTAGGAATTACATAAATCCAAAAGAATCACAAAGCTGGAAGAAGTCTTAGAGATAGTCTCATTCAGTACTTTTTCATTAAAAGAGATCATTAATAAGCCATTATAATATACTCTATAGATCAACCTGTTCACGAAAAGGAATGTGTTAAACCATATGAAAATCATGTATTTCCATTTGCTGACCTCTTATTTTTTAGTGAAATACAATGCGGACCCATGTAACTTGAAAAGACCCTTCATAAGTATGTTGTATTGCCTAATCTTCAACAAACTGCAGTTTTAGGCTCAGCCAACAATATGACAGATTTAGTAGAAGTACAGAATATATTACATGTAAGGAGTTAAATAACATACTCTTTTCTAGTACATATATTGCACACACAACATAAAGAAGCACAAACACTGAGGCAACTACTTACTAAGCAGTTAAACATTCTTTCAATGCAGAATTTTCTTTCCGGCATTTTACTACCATAAGGATTCCAGAGTCCTTGCAACACTTGGTAAAATCTGAAATAATAAATGTGGAAGAAAAACAAATTACATCAATATAATTTTTAGCAGCCCTAAAATAGTCATTCATTTAACATCTACCACCAGGAGTGTGCTTGGCACACAGCAGATGCTCCACGAAAGATGTACACAAATAAAAGGCACAATAAGATGAGTGTCATTTACTGTGTGGACATGAGATTTGAAAGGGGCAGAGAGGACTTCCGAGAGAAAGAGTGAGGCGGCTTTGTGGAGACAGGATGTAGAAAATGAACAGCAGAGAAAAATAATATATTCTGGAAGAAATGAGTAAGAAGAGTAAAACAGGAGCTGCTTTCAGACAGGGACATCTGGTGTCCAGTCTCTGCTTGGATGGCGTGAAGACACCCCCTTTCTTTAAAATAACCTTTCAGGGTTTTGTTACATGTCAAAGAACTTGCGCACTTATGTATAAATAATGTAAATTACCATTAAAGAACACAAAATAAAATTTCACTCGAACATATCTCAAGGTAATGCAAATAAATATCAATAAACAGAGTGGAGAGATTACTCAAAGTCAGTCCAAAGTTTAAAAAAAAATGTGCTTAGAGATAGAATTTGAGACTTTCTTCCTTACAATATTGAAAACATGAGATTCATTCTTCTGGAAACCTTCCTTTCTTTGAAAAGAAACCACTTAATATTATATAATACTTAATACTATATAGACTATTGGTAAAAATACTCTAAAATGTGGACCAAGTATATCTAGGAAAAAAACAGATAAAGCTGTCTCCTAACTTTAGTCTATGAATGAAATCATATTCTAATTAAGTACAAGTAGTCTATATTATTTCCAGTTTATAGGAAAACTTTCTGGGAGCCCTCCCTGTAAAAGTGGTAAGAGAAATAAATGATTTGGAACTAGGTGTTTTTAACTCATTTAATTTATGGAGCTTTTAGATGTATTTTAATGTTTAAATAACCCCCAATACTGAGGTTTCTTAATTAAGCCAAGAATAACTATTTATGGAGTAACAGCTGTGATGGAAATAGAAATAGTGGGCACTTGATCTCTTACACTTTTCATGTAGTCAGTTTCAAACAACATATTGTTTTGCAAATGCAGTCATCCAGTTACACAAAGCATTCAATGAGAAATGACAACTTAAAAACATACCAAATTAAAAGAAATCATCCTTAATGTTTCGTGTTATGACTAGAACCACTCCACTTGTATCTCCACTAATTTATGTATTTTTAAAATCTTATGCTTATTTATCACGACCACCTTTAGCACATATTTCTAAATTTCCAGTATTTTTTTCTTAATTCGTATTTATAAATAAAATTTATAACCTCTTTTTCCCAGCATTACCAATAAAAGAGCAAAGATATATTTGGATATCAATATAATTATAAGTTTAACATATAAGCTACATGTAATATTTCTATGACCATACCATCACCTTAAAGATTTCACCTTTCAACTCTGGAACTTCAATTTAATCTAAATGAAAAACACTCAGGAGGTCTTTTTTATTGAAGGGCAGATTTTAAAATCACCTAAAATTCGTAATACAACATCTACTCTACATCTGGAATGTTAAGTTTAAAACTGTTTCCTTATACAGAACTGGGTAAGAATGAAGAGACCTACTATAAACAATGCATAGAAGATCTTTTGATAGTTACTGAATAGTAAGAAGCTTTAAAAACATAGGACTAAACATGATACAATTTGGAGAGGATCCAGGTAGATGCCAATTTTTCTTAGGATTTTCCTTCAGACAAAGATATCTGCAGTTTTAGATTGAAGTAAATTACAATCTAAAACTAATCTTTTTCAGGAAATGGTATCTTTTAAGGGATAACTTCTGTAATGACCAGTGTCATGTCAGGTTCCAGCCGACAATGCCTCTGTGCTGCACTGCTCTAGGCAATCATCTTCCCTTCTGGAAGCTGTGAAGTTAAAAATGCCTGCAGACAACGGCCGGTCAGCTCCGTCTGAGCTCACCAGTTCCAAATGAGTGAAGGCCTGAACTAAGGCGGAGGCGAGGAAGGCAAGTTTGTCCTCTTCTTTCTAATGACTTCGCAGCTGCAGGAAACCAAAGCCACGAGGCCACAAAGTACGTTATTCTGGATAACTGACAGCATGAGCAGTATTTCACGAAGTTCATGTGAAAAACTTTGTCAACCGTTCTGACTTTATGTACATTTATTTGTAAGATTTCATAACAAAACTGTACATCTCTTTGCAAACTTTGAGTCAATGATCCCAGTAGTGTGACTTAGAAAAAAGTCAATCCCGTCCAATCTACAGACAAACCCAATTACTATAAATAATCCCAGACTGGATGAGAAGCTAATTAGAACAAATTCACTTTAAAAGCTGGAAAACAATGTTATCAGTGAGTATCTGCCAGCGAACATTCTAACAACATAATCCCATAGAGGATTTTTCAAGGGATGGGTAAAATTGTTCCACTGTGAAAACAAAAGATCAGATGACAGCATCTTTACAAGACACATACTTTGGAACAGTGGCTTCTTCATCCCACTCACACATTAAAAATGTTTCAGTTTCCAAAGGTAAATCTAAAATATTGCTGATGGAAAATTACCAAATCATGCTGTCACCTTCATGTTTACAGAGATCTAATTATAAATGTTTATTTTTTTCAAGTTACCAAAGTAGAATGAAAATTATAAAAAATCACTTACATCCCTGCCTTCACCATAGCAACAATAACAGCTGGCATCTGTTGAATTTACTACATACCAGGCACTTCCCAGTGAGTTAATTCAGGTTTCACAGGTATTAACTGATTTAATAATTTAAAATTTATTTTTTTCATATATTCTTTCAGTACTTATCCAAAGGCTCACAAAATATCATTGATTCACTCAACAAACATTTTCAAAGTGCATACTATATACCTAGTGCTGTGCTAGGTTCTGGGGTTTCCACGCTAAAAAGACAGAGAAGGCTACTGCCCTATGGCAGCTAACAACAGTTCCTGAGGAAGACAGGCAAAAAGTGCTCACAGATGAGTCTGGTATCTGGTCTGATAGGGGAAAGGTGGGGAAGGGTAGCACAGAACAGGAACGCTGATCCTATTCAAGAAGAACTTCCCATAAGACGTACTCTGAAGCTACAATCTATTCTGAGCCAGAGCAAGAGAGGAAGAACATTCTGGACAAAGGGAAGAGCACTGGAAAAGGTCTGGGGTGAAATGGCAGGATGTATTACTGAGTAATCAGAAGAGCAGGTACATTTCGGGTTATTTGGTTGTGCGTGTGTATGTGTGTGCCTTTGTGTGCTTGGTGGATGGGAGGTGGAGGAGGACAGGCGTGTGCCCATTATGACAGACAGGCAGTGCTAAAATGGCCAGGCTCTGTCCTAAGATCAATGGAAAGAAGGGTTTTAAACAGAGGAATGGCACAATTAGATTTTCTTCTACAGAGAACTACTAGAGCAGGCAGGGAAGGCAGAAGGGGAAACAATCAGATAACTAGTTAGGAGGTTAGTACAATAATCCAAGCAAGATGTGGCAAGGGACTAAAAAGGTAGAGGCAGAGGAATGGAGAAAAGCCAATGACTCCAACTGAAAGTTGACCGATCCTCATAGTTAGTTATGAGAATAACAGATGGAATCAAGGAGAACTCAGAATTTCTTGCTGGGTATGTGACGGCACAGTTTGAAGACTTTAAAAAGAACACCAGAAAAGGAACAGCATATGATGTCGTTCTATTTGGGTGGGAGCCTGTGGTTGGGGTTGGGGAGAGCCAATGACAAGCTGCAGACATGTGCAGTGAGGGGGCCTCTGAGACACCCAAGCAGAGCTGTCCAGAGGCGGTTAGCGATACAGGTCTGAAGCCAGTCTGAAATTCTGTTTTCATACCACAAACTTACTAAAAATAACAAAAAGAAAAGAGGCTCCAGGCACACCCTGAGTAATACTAATATGGAAGGTTCTAGAGGAGACAGGAGACTGGAATGATACTGAGGACTGGTATCACAGAAGTCAAGGAAACGTAGTGATTGACCTTTGATACATAAGCAGGAGCCTCTGGACCCAATTTTGGTTTTTGAGTTTATGAGTAGTTCCAACCACTGTAAAGATATTTCACAACTTTTATTCTTTCTTAGAGGCATTCCAGAAAATCTAAGAAAAAACTGACATATTTTGTAATACAGTGAAACTCAATTCTACTTCACAGTTATCATTTAGGTTCACTGGGATCTTTGCATAAAGCTAAGATACAATACAGACTCTTAATGATCTTATTGTTTTCCTACATATTGAAATATTTTACTATATAATCCTAGGAATTATTTCATCCTAACTCATCAGTTATTCCCAACGATGCTAAAAATGACTAAAATAATAAGAATAATGGAATCACCTAGAAAGATGATGCAACAGTGAAATAAACCTTCATTAGTACATCAGTGTTCTTACTATATTGCCTAATGTAGTTCACTATCTTGTGAATATATAAAAGCACTCCTTTTTTTGCTTCCCTTGAAAACAACTGAGATTTGAGATTTTTTTTACTTTTTTACTTTGTTAGTAGAATAAGCGCCCCTAAAGATGTCCAGTCCTAATCTCCAGACCCTGTGAATATGCTAGGTTCCATGGCAAAAGGGAATTAAGGTTGCTAATGAGCTAACCTTAAAACAGTGAGGTTTATCCTGGATTATTAGGATGGGCCCAAAATAATTATAAGCATTCTTAAAAATGGAGGAGGAAAGCAGAAGAAAAGAGTAAGAAATGTGATGGTGTAAGCAAGTTCAGAGAGTTATCTTGCCGGCTTTAAAGATGGAAAAAGAGGAACGCCAACCAAATTATTGAGGTGCCTTGCTATGCACTGAATATGTGGGTCCCCACCAAATTCCTATGTTGAAACCCTACTGCCCAATCCCACTCTACCACCACATGAGGTAGTAGAAGGTGGGGCCTTTGAAAGACCATCAGGATTAGCTATCAAGGTGAGGCTCTCATGAATGGGATGAATGCCCTTATAAAAG